TGTTGTCATGTCCACATATCTGGCTCTTTTTCGCACCGACGTCGTCGTGCTGCAGTGCATCAGTGCTGTTTATACTGTAGCTGTCCAATTTCCCACCTGCTGGCCAAGCTGTCACTGCGGTATAGGATCTAGAGGTCATGTAATTATACCTGATTTCGCCTTCTCCCCCCCTCAACCACTCCGTCTATTCTTTCCTCGCTGCACCGTCTCACCGACACAACAGCAGCGACGGAGACTGCGAGTGTCACAGAAGGAAAATAGGAAACCAGCAATGTCACGTAGAACGGTGACACATTTACAGGTATTGTTATGACACCGCGGGCTGCAGCGATCAACAGCCAATTATACAGAACATACACAAGTCAGCACACTGAATAGTGTGATTAACAGGGCTCCTCTATCACCATGGTGCAGATTTCAAAGCGGAATACCAACAATTTTCCAACCGAGAGAAAAGAGGAGAATATAAATAAATGTGTCAATACATGATGAATGTCTTACATTACCTTAACCAAAGTGTTTTGAATTAATTTGTCAGGGTTTAGAGATTGCCGTCCTACAGAATCCTGCTCCAATTCCAACACAATGAAGGTAAATGGAGGTAGGCAAAGAGCCACAATCCATACCTGTATCATATCTTTGTATTACCGTTATTCAATAATTACTACGTGTCGTGGATTTTCCATCGTCTTTTCAATAACCCGTTTTACTCATTCCTGTCATGCGGGTGCCCTCCTGCATTCAAACAATGTGCAACACATCGCCTCTGGTTATAAATGAAGTTTTGTGTTTTTTTTACCTTGTTATTATGTTTTATATGCCGGAAGACATATCATGAGTGAATGTCACTGTTGAGCGTTTTCACCTTGAAACTGCAGTGCACTGATTACAGTCTCAAAAACACAGAGTTATTACAACATTAAATCTAAACTTTCCGTCGTGCAGTTTCGAGTAGTTGCACCGCGCCGGAGCTGCATTGCGCCGCGGAGGTAAAGGTGCAGACGTTTTGACACACGGAGGTGAGTTTTTAAGGGTTTAATCAATGACTGGAGTCTATCTATAAAAGATAAAAAACATTTCTTATGCTTTCAGGAATCTGCAAGTAAGGATGAGCTCCATCTCTTGACTGCCAATCTGCACAATATGATTACTGTTTTTTTATTCGACTATGAGCAATCGGCTTTTCTGATTACACATCGGACCAAGTGTTGGCGACATGAATAACACAGTTGTCCTTCAATGTATGTCATGAATGACTGAGCATTCAAATTGTCTATATATATGCATGAGGGATTCAAAGAAAGTGATGCAGCATGAAATCCAGAGTTACTGCTTGGAATTTTATCTCGCTGACATCAGTCTCCCTGTTAACTGTTCACCCTCCTGTATCTAGGCTGCGTCCGGCAAACGGGAGCCGGACACTTCCTGCTGCTGGGTCACTTTAGAAGCATTTAACTTGAACATTTATTGTGAAGCTTACACCGGAAAGGCAACGTATTTGTCAATCAAAAATGCATCCACAACAAGGGATTATTATTACAGCATTATTGGAATAAGAAGCAGCAGCCGCAGTGAGCAGCCGAAGAGCTGCAGGGAAGGTGTCACGTTTTAATGTAAAACTACAGCCGCGATCACCTGGTTCCTCCCATATGTTTTCAGTGTTACTAAACAGATAATTACTGCAAAATGTATTGTTGCATTCAACTGAAGTTTACAGTTAAATACTGGCTAATTTTCCTAAAAAGCTTATTTTACTAATTGCTCTTTTTTTAAATTGACCACAGCACCCGACAGCAGGATGTGAGATTTACTGTTAAATATTGCAACTAGACTTTTCCAATAATAGGTTAAATTTAATATAGTGTTGCCACTATGATCACGCCGTACCTGTAGTTGCCTATAAATTGCACCATTTCCTTTAAAAACCTTTGTGAATTGCTGACATATACTATAAATGTGTTTTTAATCTTTAAGCTCTAACTCTACATTTAAAGGTGCACGTAGCACTAAAACAGCTGCAACAATACAGGCAAGCAAGTTAAATTTCTACGCATTAGGAGCGTCAATACAAGCTGATGTCTATTGAATCCCTTTTTGAAGACAGGGGGAAAAAATTAATGTAAAAAAATAAATAAAAATTATGCAAAAATGGCTGATTTCAACTGTTGCGCTTAAACTTTTTGTTCCATTAACAATATCAATTATTAAAGTGGTCTATCATTAATGTTCAATCTTGCTTTTGGCTCCTAAAAATCTATATTTCACAGTTTACAAAAGGAAAAAAAATGTCCACAACTGTTAGTATTAGGCTGTATTTTTACAGTAGTTTATCAGTATGTGAGATGTGCAGCATGAAATCTGGTTCACGACTTGATGTAAAACGGCTATTTATTACAAATCATGATTAGGTCTACATTACCACAGCATGCATTTCTTTGGCTGCTCGTTAAACACGCG